GCTAAGGTCGTGACAGTACGTTTATTAGGTTGATCAAACTATTAAACTGAGGGAACCTTAGTGGTAAATCATATTCATTTACTTCCATATCATTTCATCTCTCCATTTGGGTACAAATTGGGATACACTGCCATGTATGTGAAAATGTTGTTTAGTTTATGATGCTTTGTCATTTCTAAAACCCTATAGGGTTTGGAGGAAAAAAATGAACATAAAAAGACTTTTCATGATTCTAACAATTAAGGATGTGCCTTCATACCTCACATGTTTATAACTTATTTTGTTTTCTTACTCAGGGGAAAGAACGGCTGCATGACAATGTACCTAAACAGCACTATGTTGTTACTGTTGTTGATTTACCTAATTGTAATTTATCAATTTAGATTTACATGGAAAGCAATACCAGGCTCACATATCTGGGTATTTCTTGCCACATCTGAATTGTTTTCACCATCATGGATCAAACTTCAACTATATTGGTTGGTACATGACTAGTATTCACCAGTCTGAAAGCCGATTGGTACATGTACTGAGTAATTCACCTGGTTCAGTCTCAAATCAGGCTTACCATCCCGTAACCTTACTGTATCAGATTTACTGAGTCATAAGAAGACTAGTACCAAGCTGTACCAAACAATAAGCCTATTGCTGTAGGTATCAAGTTGTTATTTCTTTAATCCTGACAGCTATCAACTATCTTTCCTTTTTCCTTTTTCTTCACCACCACTACCACCACCACCACCATTACCTCCTCCGCTCACTCTCTCTCCTACATCTCATCCTCCCTTTTGCAACACTGCTGCTTTGTCCTTCCCACCACATCATTGCTGCCACCTCGTACTAATATGCATTGCCATGCCTCTTTCTACTGGTAGTCATGCACCTCTTCTTCCTCGTCTTTCTCTTCCTCTTCCACCTCTTACTTTGCCTCCTCCTCCCCTCCTGTTTTTTTCTCTCTCTATTTCTCTCTGGTCCAGGTGATTCCAGCCTTATGTATCCGTAACAAGAGTCCCAATACATCGTATCATATCAATTCTGCTTCTTCCTCCTTCCGCCCATTCTTCTCTCTCTTTCTGTATGGTCTGTGAATTGACTGGTACATTGTCCTGTACCAATATGAAACTGGCCCAACCGCTGATAGATACTGGTATCAGATCAAGATTTTAATACAGGCCCTTAGAATTTAACAATCTCCAAGTCTTCATATCAAAGAATGAATAGACCATCTCTATCAGCAAATGCCCTCCTTCGTGCATTAGGAAACATGTTGAAATTGAAAGACTTGATGCTAAGAAAGGTTTGAAAGACTTGGGCAGTTTAATTACCTAAATCTCTGTAAATTGAAATATTACTGCTGGTTTATACTTTGATGCTGCTGCATCTTATCATTTAGAGTTTGAGTTATTTTCTTAACTAAATTTGAAGTTCACATTTTGAGAATGTTAAAACTAGCTACCAAATTGGTAACAGTGTTACCTGTATAAATGTAGAGAAAGCATCATCTTCCTCCAATTTTGAGAACTCGACTGCCCAGTCATCCTCCACAGAAAACAAATTCTTTTGCCTCTGAGCCTCAAGCAACACTGAGTCCCGATATAAGAACCTCTGCCAGGTTTGATGTATATTTGCCAACATAAAGTCTATTTCTGTCTCAGTAAATTGCTGGACAGTCCAGTAAGGGTATCAATAAGTACATAACAGCTTGTTACATGAACATAAAAAATGTTGCGAGAGGGATGCTATATTACCTGTAGAATTTTAATCAAGTTTGGAATATCATCTTCTTGAATTCGAACTGCAAAACTTTTGTAATTAAAGACATTCTCATACGGAAGGTAGATACCATCCTGCAACCAAGGTGTCACAATTATATAAGTCAGAGAAAAGTCAAAATGCTGGCATAGAAGAACAACTAAAATTTGCAGCTTCATTCAATAGACAGAAAGCAGGAACAAAGATGGGCATCAAAAATGAATATGCTACCAAAAGGAACAAGAGAGTTTTATATGTTATGGCATGAAGGAAGATCCCATTCTAAGAATGCGGAAGAGATCAGAAAGGGAAAATCTAGTTTTCTAATTAAGTACAGGAAGTAGAAGCATGAAACTGCGAACAAGCCCTAGTGCTATGGTACAGTTGCTTAGTCGAAACTTAGGTGTCAAGGGTTCAAGTTACAGAAGCAGCCTCAGTGTGCAGGGCCAATTTTGCATAAATTTAAGCTTCTCACTTCATTGGGGGGAAGGCCAACACTATTTTAGAAGCAAAGAGAGACACATATGGACACCTGAATTATTACAGGAATGCATCCTTGCTGCATACTATCTTCCATTCGTCCACTCCATCCATCCCCAGGCAAGACACCACAGAAAATAGAGCTAGCCAGATCATCATAATACTTGGAAGAGCGCACAGAAGTTACTGTTACATTAGCAATATGCTGTCTCCCAAGCTTGCCCTCTTTGTTAGGTGTAGAACTAAATTCCTCAGCCAGTTTTTGCCTAATGCCCATACTGTACCTGAAATCATTTTGAAATCAACAGATATATAACTGTCAGATAAATAATTGTGGTGTCAAGACCATTATGTTCTAAAATATTTACTCACGTGTCTTCAGGTCGACCGTTTTCATAGGCAGGTCCTAAGTTTCCATCAAAGTAGAATAGAGTAGTACGCTCTGTCCGTGGTCTACACATCCAGTTAGACCAACCTTAGATGAATCTAATAATGAGAAAAGACACAGAAGTCAGTTAAACTTCATGGGTACCTTGCCCAAAGTTTTTCCCATATTGCACGTGGTTGAGGCCTTTTCCATGCAGGAAGGACAAGATCCTTCGCTGGGTCAAAGCAAGGATGGTTGCCTCTTTTAAAGGAGGGTATTTGGTCCCAGTTGTCAGCCCAATAAGCTGTCGTTGAGTGATTATATTTTGAGTTTGTATTCCCCCAGTGAACTAACATCATGCTATTCCAGATTTGTGTTGGGGCATAGCAAGCACCTTCATCCCATGAAAAAAACTGCCATGAGGTAGAAGCAATGAGGTTAGATTCTCAACATAAGTCCATAAAATTTAAATTCTCACCATTTGGAACATCAGTGCCATACCCATATATGGTCCTTTCCAGAGGACCGATTCCAGTAAGGATAGTGCTCAACGATATGATCATAAGCCCTCTTGTAGAACTCCAAAGTAAAATAACTCCTTAAACCCTTTTGTTCCTGGGATTCGAGTGATCTTTTGAGTACTTTTCCTTCTTTTTCTTTTATGTATCAACAATTGTTTTCAACCAAAAGATGGTAATGAAGAACATGGAATTATTTTAGAGAAAGCACTAGAACAAAACAATAGCTACAAAACTCATACCTTCATGCGTAAGTGAGGCGCATCATCTGCTCGAGTTATTATACAGGAGTCAAGAACTGGAACATAAAAGTAATCGGCTTCTTCACCATTCATTGTTCGATAAGGACTAGCGAGAATGCTCTCATAGAGTGCCATCTATATAGTGAAGAATGATGTAAGGATATGTTGTATAAAATAATAGTAACAATTCTTGTCGTATTCTCATAAACAACCACCTGTGATCCATATAACTGATCAGTCCATAAAGTTCTATTCTTATCAGTATATATTCTGTTAACACACTCAAACTTGAAATGCCGTCCCTGCAAAAGAAAATGTAAAAAAGTGTACAGATCTTGATCATTTTTGTTTCAAACAAGAAAGAATATGAGTGATGAAGCTACCTCAAGAAGGTGTGCATTGAACTCTGGTGGCAGATCATAAACATATATGAGTGGCCTTTTCTTTTTAACTACAGCTTTGATGGTCAGAAGATCACTACTTGTAGGTGCCTTATCATGTAAATCAACTGTAGCTGGTCGAAGCCATTCTGGCCATTCTTGAATAGGTGATATGGAAGATGGAACACTGCAATCGATTCCATAATAACCTCTGTCACACTGAATAACTAACTTCAGTACAGGTATTGTGGCAAAAGCAGCAGCTGGTAAAAGTAGAGACATATTTGTCTATTGAGTTAAGAATCTTTTTAACTTGACAAAGCATCAACAAAATGAAAAAGAAAATAAAACACCTGTTTTCCTAGTTTTTCACAGTTAAATTGGTTGGGAGTTATAGCACACCTCACAAAAACCACCACGGCAATGCCCACGCCCAGAGCACTGATTGAGACAACTGCACACAGTTGGTATCTCACAAAACTGTCCCACAAGACAGTCATATTTACAATCGCATTCTTCTTTAAATTTCACTTTTGAAGCATATGCATCTTCTGGATCTACATTGCACCAGCCAGGTTTAGTACCATTGGTCGTGAAAATGTTATCAAAATCAGCCTTCGTCCAATCAGTAACCTTAGGACCACCAGGTTGGGAAGGTAAGCTGAAATGGCCATAGAGGAAGGCTATAAGCACCATAACAAGTACCTAAATATTTTGGACAACAACTTTAACTTGGTTACTTTATTTTAAAGCCACAAGCCTCTGCCACCGGACGATTTGGATATTTTGTTCCTTGTCCACAGAAACACATTGCGCGAGTGGTGTCACAATAAGCAGGACATATTGAAACAATCCATGAACCAAATGGTTGTTCTGGAGATACTGGGAGATTACAGTTCAGCTCCAACTTCTTTGTACATCCTTCACCTGCTTGAACACAAAAATATTAATATCTTATGCATTGGTTGTTCATGTCAACAAACATAACATAAAGAGATGTGGATTTTCCCAGAACTAAATTAATAATCCAAACTATATAGGCAATTGCTAACAAATAACTGCCAAAATGAATTGAAAAATGAATTAAGGGCCCTTGTTGTACTGAAGTTAGAAGTGAAGGAAGAGACACGAAGACAATGGAGACATCCAAACAAAATGAAGCAAAATGAACCCCCATGTTTTTTAATATGGAAATAAACGATGAGAATAAGGACACTGTTTATAGCCCTTTGCTTGCATATTGCTTGAAATTAATGGAAGTGCAGCTATTGTTTCCAACTTAACTAAAAGACTAACATCACTAAGATTCAACGATTTCTTAAATAGATATATAAGTGGCATTACATATGGCAAAAATTTTACCAACCATCGTATCCATGAAAGCACCTGCATGCCCCCAGCTCCCTATTGCATACACCTCGGCCGCTACAATCGTTTTGGCAACTCTTGCCACCTATGTTCTGAATAGGAAACACCAAGCCCTCAACCGTTAAAGACGCACTCTGTAACGTCAAAATGTCCAATCAATCAGAGGAAAGGCGCATATACCTCTACGACTTGGACCGTGGCCAAGGCCGAACCGCAACCGGAGAGCCACCTCCCGATCTCGGCCTTCCAAGGCGCGCCGCGGTATGTCACCGCCCCATGGGAGTCGGCCGGAAACCGAGCACCCCATTCAACATCATCCCAGCGCTCGGTCCGTCCGTGATCCGACGACGCATTGAAAGGCGCGCAGGAAGCGGAATTCTGTCGAGCGCCGAAGAAGTCGAGGGAGGACGGGAAGATGGGCGACAAGAACATGTGGATCGCGGAGGCCAGGATCAACAGCAAGCCGATCGCTACGACGAGGGACCACGGGTACTTCCACGACGGGAACGAGACCATCGTCGATTTTACTGGTCTAGCGGGATTGGGAGAACCCTAGAGACGATTCATCTGGGCGTTCTCGATATCGGCGGCGCGCGGGCGACGGCGTCAGCCTCGACGGGTCGTCTTGAATCCAGCCGACACATGATGATGATGGGAAAAGCCAAGATTAGTCGGTTTGGTTTGGTTCGGGATGGAAGTGGAGGCCTTTTGGAAGCTTGTCATTCGTGACCGGCTGCTCACTGACGCACGACTTAGCCAAATGTTGATAGACCTTAGTATTTGGTGATGTATTATTACACCTACTATTGAGGGTTCGAATATTTATTATTTTAAATCTAAAATATTGACCACCCACTCATTTAAGTATTTTGGTGATCTATTTATTACACCTATTATTGAGGGTTCGAAAATTTATTATTTTAAATCTAAAATATATTGACCACTCATTTAAATTACGAAAACTATAAATCCTATGAACTGACGCCAAAGATTCCACCCAAAAAGTCATATTTAAATTGTGCTTCAACTATAATTAAACAGTTAGATAATTATAGTTAATAATAATATTATTATTGTTTCCAACGCTATTCCAAAATCGTACATGAGATCTCGGAATTTGAAATTTTATCCGATAAATTTTATATCTAAAATATCATAATTATTTAATGCTATATCCAGTGAATACATTCTTCTTGCACACTCTACTCTACTCTACTATGGGTAAAAATTGGCTTAGCCATCATGTTGACGTCATGTGGCAGATGTGTCAGACTCTTGTGGTTGACACGTCTAGGAAGATGATAACATGGCACAACCGCAGTTGACGTTTTAGTGTCGCACGATAAACATCTTGGTGTCGTGTGGCTGACAACTGAATATAGTGTGATCGATATGATATTGTCATGTGACCAACACTATAGTATTATGCGCAGGGTCTATAGCACCGAACTGTACCGTCCGATACGGGTGGTACGTACCGGTCCGATAGATTGTCGGTACGCGAACCGCCTATTATCGGTCCGAGTGCACTGGAGTATTGTAACAGTGCTATAATACTCGGCATACCTGAGTGTACCGCTTGGTACACCTAGGTGTATCGTTCGGTACACCTGGGTGTATCGTTCGGTATACTGTACCGTACCGGTACCGAGCCTAGATCGAAATACCGTTATGATACGATATTACGAACCTTGATATTATGTGGCTGACATATGGATCTAGGTCGACACGTTGGTGCCACATGATTGACACCATAGTGTTATGTCGCTTACACATTAGATCCATATGACTGACATTGTAATGTTGTGTAGCAGACACATTAGACCATGTGATCGATACCTACCACATGGCTAAAACCCATGCCTTATGTGGATGGCACACCAACGCAAGCAACCCCACATGGCAAGCATGCCAACACCCTATGTTTCCACCCTTTTCAACCAATTGGACCACCCCCATCGTTTGATCTATGCCACGTGTCAAAACGTAGCATCATCCCAAACTCACCCTGGCTAATGATAATAATTACACTCAAGATCAATTCTCCATGTTCCGACGAGCAATGTGACATCCTAAGATAATAATAGTTATGAGAACCTATTATAGAAGGTGTTCAATACGTACGTCTCAACACATACAAACTTAAAATATAATCGACGTATCGAAGAGATATTGTCGAGAGTACACCGACATAGTTTTATAGGGTTCAGACGAAACTAAAGAAGTTTGACTTAAGATTGGATTGAGAAAAGCACTTAGTGGATTCGAATCAAGTTCCACCTCTTATAATAAAAAACTAACTTAATAATGATGAAATTTTTTAATCATTTTTTTAAAATGCTAGATTAGGATATATATTAAATTTTATAACATATAATCCAATAAATTTAAAAGATATAAACTATCGTTAGTTACTGGTTGATAGTAAGTTTTATGCTATAAAATCTCACTTTCACTATTTTATATATAATAATAATAAACTCAAATCGTAGGTCTCAACTATTTGGTTCGATTAAAAATCTTTTACCACCTTTTTCACTATTTTCACCCTAGCTAGTAAAAAAAAATTTGGATTCTCTAAAATGATTTGGATGGAGAATGATATATTATTTCCAACATTATTTGCCAAGTACAACTTTTTAGACAATGAGTTAGGTCTAAACAAATATAAGTATGTTGATTATAAAGTGAAATAAGTTCGATAACTTTGCATGAAAATTACTAAAGCATGTGAAGGATTAATATGAATCCCTAATATCAAATGGGATATAAGAATCCAAGATTTTGCATTTAAAGATGTGGTCCACAGCTATGAGAAAAATAAAGCAATCAGTGCAACTTGAATGTTGATGGAAGATTTTAATATGCAAGAACATGAATCATTAATTCTTCTTACATTCTATTCCATAATTATCATTGCAACTCAAAGTCTAGGGATGATCAATATATGCAACCACTATTTTTTGTGATTTTAATTCTTATCATCCCGGTTGAAAAAAAGTATATTTGATGGAAGAACAAAAAAAACAAAAAAAATCCTTTGGAAAACTTTGTTCTAATAGAAAAGAATCACATGAAATTTTAGCCAACTCTGTATATCTTAACTTTCATTTAGAACACAATAAAAGGATTTAAGCTTTTGAATAGAAGAAAGGAAAATTAGAAAACCACATAACACGAAAGAATTTTAATTTCTGTTGCAAAATCTTGAGTTCCATTCACGAACAAACACATAATATGAGAGAAATTTTACAAGCTACAAAGTATTAGAATGTCACATATTCATGAAATGACAACTTTTAAGAGTATAAAATGAACAAATTTGAGGTTTTCAGATTAACAAATATGTTAAACAAACCAAGATTGATTTGACTCAATTATGTTGAAACCTCTCTAACACATTATGATTGTTCAACTATCTTGATCTAATAATGCAGGTACATATTTATAATCCTGAGAGCCTTCTTAGTCAATAAACAATTGTTCATGTGCAGTTACATATTTATCATGTACTAATTAGAATGCAATGTGCCAATACATGGGAAATCTGGAAATGTATGTGCTAATGCAAACTTTAACTAGACCTTGATAACCAATGTGACTTGTAAATTCATGCATTGATAGTTTCATCTGTTCCATATGATGTGATCTTTTTTTTATAATAGAGGAACAAAGAGAGAGGAATTTAAAGATTTTTTTAAAGATAATAACGAAGAAATCCGATAATTATCAGACTCGCTTGGATGGTTATTTATAATAGAGGAATATAGAGACAGGAATTGATTAGGGCATTGTTGAGAACTAAATGGTAGAACATTGTAATTTCTTTTCTTAGTAAAACAATGTACAAATGAGAATCTCTATAATTTCCCAACATTTTCTTTCCTATAAGATATGGTTCATTCCATAATCTTCCTTACAAACATAATTCTTATTCATTATACTTATATTTATTCATTCATGAATACGGGAAAAGAAAGAAAGAAAAGTTAAACAGGAACCTCTTTTATGTTTTTTTGAATCTTAGATAACATCATTACCCTGCCCAATATACTTCCTTCAATGCCTACTTAAAATTCAATATAGATAGCAAGGATTTACTGGATATGGATTTTCACAGTGACCACTTTTCTCATAAAGAATTTTACCCGAGATTATCTTTGATTTCTCAATAAAACCATTTGTTAGCATAATGCACTCAAAAACTGAAGCTGTTGCAGTTGAATGATGCTTGAACTTTATGGAAATATCAAGACTTTATGAACCATTCTCTCGGGATACTGAACCTCTTTGATAGAGTTTATTTTCTCGTGAGTTGTTGTACCTCACAAAGAGAATCAATTGGATGAAAACAGTTGAGATTTGCACTTAAAACATATGGAGAATGGCCAAAATGGTTCTTAATGATCTCCTATTTGATATCTTTAATCTCAAGGAATCATGAACATAGTAACATAAGCTCTAAGTAGGCTGATATTGGAACTAGGATATAGTATATTGACATGATATTATAAAGGGACATGTTTAGTCATTCCAGTGAGAGAAGGCTTAATCAATATATACTTTTGCACAAGTAGAGTTTTGGTTATTGATATCTGCAGCTTTTGGTAGAGTGTCATGAAATTTCAGCACTTAAAAGGGAAACATATGCTTATCATCCTATATTTAACAAGCTTTGGGTCATTGAATTATGTAAGCATGGCACAGTACAAAAATCATACACAATAAAACTTCAACACTGACATGGAACTGCACTTTATTGCCATTTCTTGTGTCAATTTTGCAGTACAGAAATATAGCACATAGTTTATATCACCTTCATGCTTTCATCTGACATTTTTTTTATTATGATCACAACAATTTTTTATAGAAAACATGAAAGAGATTACACACTGAGTTTCGGATGGAAATTATGACTCGCAACTTGTTTGGTGAAATCATCGATGCAAGCCATTCTGATCCTCTCAGGGGTAGCTGGATTATCGAGTGGGAACCAATCATGATATCCTTCTTCTGCTCTAGCAGCTACGACGGCATCTTTGATGGCAAATAATACTGCAGATGCAAGGAAAAATGGTGGCTCCCCAACGGCTTTTGAAGAGTGGATTGCTTTAGGATTTTGAACACCCTGCAAAGAGAAAAATGTTGGCTCCAAACCGTGAAAGTATGAGTTTTAAGAAGACTAACATAGTCTTTGATTTGTGAAAGTATGAGTGTGGGCAGGTTTAGGAATATTAGAAACAAACTTAGGAGTTTCAGATATAGTTGGAAACAAGAAGAGTCATTAGATAGGACTCTCCACACTGAAGGCCAAGGGAAAGAAAGTAATCTGCTGTATACTACAGATGGCAGAAAAACAAAAATAGAAGATTGTTTATGGAGTCGTCTCGATCTATAAAGATCCCTCTAATGAGTAAAAGGAAGTTCAAATATGTGAATGAGGCTATAAAGATCACCCCAACAAAATAAAATTGTTGTAAGGAAAAACCATCATTTATTAGAGGTAGCTCGGGCGTTATGTTTACTACGAGAGTTCCAAAATATTTTTTGGGGAGAAGCTATCCTAACTGCATCTTATTTAATCAAAATAAATACCAACCCGAGTACATAATTTTAAAAAATCCCTAAACATTCTCCTGCAAACCTATCCACAAACTAGAATATTTAGTAATTTGACTTCAAAGGTATTTGGTTGTGTAGCATTTGTTCATATACATAGTCATAGCTACACCAAACTTGATTTGCAAGTATAAAAATATGTTTTCTTAAGCTTCTCACTAACTCAGAAGTGATATAATTATAAATGCTTTGATCCTCCTACAAAACAGTTCTATGTAAGTATGGATGTCATCTTTTTTCAAAATTAATCTTATTTCTCCCAAACTTCTCTTCAGGGGAAGAATAATATGGGAGAGAAGTTTTGGAAAATTATTATAACCCAACCTGTAAATTCTCCTTCTGAATTCATTCCCATCACAGGTACATCTCCTCAAAATTCACCTTTTGAATTCATTCCTCTCACAAATCTATCTTCTCAGCCACAACCTATTTCTTGTACTATCAATCTAATGTTACAACCTCAATCTATTGTGCCAGAACATGAAAAATCTGATGTAGTGGAAGACTCAATGACTGAAAACAGCAATCAGAGCTACATGTTTATACAAGGAGGCAGAACCGATATGGTTTGGGGCAACAACCACACAATGCCTGCCAAGAGTCAGCTCCAAGTGCATTTAAT